CACACAAGGTCAGGGCCATTAAAGACTGCCCCAATGAGCTCCCATCGCCAACTCCCCTCTTTCCTTGCTTGGCACAAATGCTCATATATTCAAAACTTCCCATCGATGCTTAACGTGGTTGGTGGGCGAGTACGGTTAGGAACCCCCCATCCTGAGTTCGATTTCCCTCTACTACAGCATCGCCTCTTCAGTGGAGCAAAGCAAGTGTGGGTCCGATGCCGGTGGGTGGCCTCGCTAGGTTCCTCTAAGGAATTGGTTACGCCGCAAAATACTCCCTTCGGAGTTGCATCACGTAGATACCCCTGTTCCCAAATAATAATAATAATATGAAAACTTAGCACGAACCGATATTCAAATCATATTCGGTTTAGACAAAAACTCAGCGATTTCATTTTGAAGAAAATTTTAAGCTTATTTCTTCAATAAAACAAACGATTGTCAAAATTTCTAAATTTTTTTTATAACCAGCTTGAGTTGATCAGTTCGACTTGAAATTAAAATCATTCTCGTATATTATAGAATGTATTGTACAATATTATTGAAGGAATTTTTATAAAAATATAGTAATAAATTTTCATTTTATTTGTATATAATGTTACTCTATGTAATTCATATAATATATCAAAAATAATTTAGAAAATTAACAGCAAAATAAATTTTTTTTCTTAACGGACGCATAAATTAACTCTTTTAAACTTCTCATTAATATTATTGAAATATATATCTACAATTCTAAAATTATAAGTAACATTATTATATTTGCCTAATCAAAATTATATGATGTATAAAAGTATTGTTGTGTGCTAGAAAATTTAAGTCAATTGAGTTTATGTTTCATGTTTTAGCTGTGTGCAAAGATTCAGCACGAATAGAGAAAAATTGATAAAATCAAAAGAAATTTTTACGTGGAAAATCTGAAAAACGAAAAAAATCATGAGGCCTGACTAGTTGCAAAATTCACTATATAGTAAGTGATAAAAAGATTCTTCTTTTCACAGTTGAAGAAGATGGAGTGTATAAAAATCAAATGTCTACGGATGAAGGATCTATGCTTAGCAATAAGGTTTAATTTTCTCAATATGTATTTTAGAAAATAAATGTCCATATGCGAACAAATATACCCAACTGTAAGGTTAAAATCTTCTTATTATTATGGAGAAAGCAATGATTTCTTAATATGGTCGTTGGTGGTGATGGTGTTTGCCGGTGGTAATAACTGGTGGTGGTCGTCAAAGGCGATGACTATCAAAATGCAAGAGAGCTCTCACTAGTTCTCACTTCTCATTTTGTTCTCCCCCTTAATGTGAAGAATGATGGAGTATACAACATACTTGATAGAGATGATTGAATACTTTCTAATTATACTACATACATAACACTTAAAAGTTGCTTATTTACTCACCTAACACCTAAACTTACTTATTTACACACCTACCACTTAAAATGTCTTTTACTTTCTAAAATAACACTCCCTCTTCCTCTCCATCAAAACCCACCGGATATCCTTCTTCGTGCTTGAAGCCTTGACGACAACAAAATCCATTGTTGAAATCTTCCTCTTATGTTCAAGAAGGATAAAACCAGAGAGCTTCAACAGCTGTTCTTTTTCTTATTCCAGTCAAGTATGGCAATAGCGGTTTAAGAAATCTAGCTTAAAGCTATCGTTCCGTGTCAAAAGCTCTGTACCGCAAAATTAAAATTGCTGCCTAATCTATAAAATAATCTAATTCACATTTCAATGCAAAGTAGTTATTTGTCTTTTTTCTCCTTCTTTTTCTTCTCTCTGCTCAAAGAAAGGATTTTATTCCTGCTAGACTCCTTCGCCTTCTTCTCCTTCTTATTTGGTTAAAAATAAAGCTTTTGATTTTGGAGAGGAAGTGAAAAAGGCATGGAGGAAAAAAGATGGAGCTCGCCAAAGGCGCCACATTCTTTGGGGCTGAATGCTCGCTGGAGCGCCAGCCGCTCGCTGGTGATTGCACAGCATCTGAATCGACTTGGGATATATGGGATCGACTCTTCAAGTAGGGTTTATGCCTGATCATGTCATCGTCCACACTAGTAGCGACAACATTGTTGCCCATGCCAGCATTTTGGCAAGCTTTTTCAGCTCCCACTTCATTTCCACCGCATAGTATCCAGCCGATTTTGACGGAGAGGAAGGAGTGGTATTTTAGAAAGTAAAATACGTTTTTTAAGTGGTAGGTGTGTAAATAGCTAAGTTTAGGTGTTAGATGAGTAAATAAGAAACTTTTAAATGTTATGTATGTAAAAATCCCAAAAATCAAATGTCTACAGATGAAGGATCTATGCTTAACAATAAGGTTTAATTTTCTCAATAGGGATTTTAGAAAATAAATTTCCATATGCGAACAAATTTACCCGACTGTAAGGTTAAAATCTTCTTATTATTCTGGAAAAAGCAATGATTTCTTAATATGGTCGTTGGTGGTGTTGATGGTTGCCGGTAGTAATAACTGGTGGTGGTCGTCAAAGGCGATGACTATAAAATGCAAGAGGGCTCTCACTAGTTCTCGCTTCTCATTTTGTTCTCCCCCTTAATGTGAAGAATGATGGATTATACAACATATTTAATAGAGATAATCGAATACGGTGTTGACTGTAACAATCCAACGGCGCACTCATAGTGCAAATTTAGTAAAGGCTTGATGGTCTGGAGGTGGTTTGCAAGAAGTTCTATGATATGCTCCAAATAGATTTGATATGGGACTTGTGTGCTCCTTTATTATGATAAAAGTCTTATCACTTTTGCCATAAGTTGCTTAAGGTTCGTACATACATAAATCAGACAAAGGAAGCTTAGAAAATACTTGCAGATTAGAGGAGTGGCTTTTATGACAGAGATCATATTATTGAAGGCTATAGAATAATTAAAAAAGTTTTTATCTTCACATAAATAAATCTAAAATCACATCCAAGTGGCTCATGTTAAACTGCTTGATGCTCCAGAGTCTTGATAAAGGTTGTAACCTTTCAAAAGAAATCAACTAATACAATTTAAGGTCGAGATTATAGCTGACAGACTAAATGCCTTAATAAAGCTTGAATCAAGTGATCTTGGGCTCTTTGGATTCGTCTCATCGAACTGCTCAATTCAACTATAAATATGTCATATTTCAAAATCATTTGGTTACTAAATTAATACTTTTCAGCTTCCATGTATGCTTCAGCTCCTTGAGTGGAACCCATTTGATTTGGGATTGGACCGATTTTGGTGCATTGGATTTGTCTTGTCGAGACTTTCAGTTTGAGTGTATAGATATAAAGATCAAAGTTTGAATGGTCTCAAATATAATTTTGAAAATTTTCAATTCCTCAAGATTAATGCTTGATCAAGATTATTATTTATGATGCATCAAATATCTAAAAATTTTTGTAGGGATTAGGGGCTTATCCCCTCAAGCAAATATAGCACTAAATAAAAATTCTCTCTTTTTTTCGGGATATTTTGATCTTTTAAGATAAATTCATACACACATTACATACATAATTCTCAAATCCAAAACTTATTAATTTATAGTAAAAACTTCAATGCAAAAGTTCCAAATTAGCTAGTTAAAAACTCTTATTGAACGGCTATAAACTATCCAGACTACATATTACTATGCTCGAATACATAATTAAATCGAATCCAAGCTCTCACCTTACCTAAAAAAAATTATATATTTTAAATTTTAAAATTAGATCTTTCTTCCATTTTTTTCAATCAATATGTTAAGTATTTTTCTTTAAATATTTTAATTAAAAAAAGAAAAGCCATTGGGATTCGCATTGTCATGGGCCCTAGTTTTCACCGCGCACATGCACCTGTCAGTCTTATCTTTGCTTGTCCCCCCAAAGATGCCCCTAGCCACTTGAAATTTGAAATGAGAACAAATGATTAAAAAAATACGATAAATAGTAAAATTTATGATTCGTAATTTTTAAAAATAATTTCTTTTTTCTATAATGAAAACTAAATTTCATTAGGAATGAATTTCTTAATATTTTTTTAAATAATTTTATAATATAAAAATTTTAATAAAATTATTTTGAAGAGTAATAAAAAAATTGTATCAAATGAAACCTAAATCATAATTTTTTTCGTGAAACAATTTATATTTGGCATTTTGGCCCATTAAATAATTTATTAGATGAACATTGATAAAAACAAAATGATTATGATAAAAACAGTAAAATATAATATTCGGAGTTCTTATATAATATATACTTTAATGATTATTTCAAATAAATAATAATCAATAAAAAAATACTTCAAAATAATAAAGAAATAAAATTTTATGAAAAAACATTGGCTTGGGATATCCCCCTATATTTTTTTTTAATTAGAATGAGCTTTAAAATAATTATATTTACAATGAAAAAAGTGCAATATAAAATATTCTTATTTATCTTTAATCTCAAAATAAATTTATTGGATTTAAAACTCATATGGTTAGGCAGAATCTGATTTTTTTCTCCCTCCTCATTAGAATTAGGATTTAAATTATTCTGTGCCACAATAAATATATTTAATTATTTTATCCCTCAATAAATATATTTGCAGCAAATCTCGCTTTGTAACAAATCGTCAATCTCTTTTTTTGTAACAAATCTCGTTAACTAACTTTAATACTGAGATGGGATCAGGCCGGCAGTTCTACAAGCAACAAGTAAGATGTAATCATGGAGAACAAAATGAGAATTAACAGCTCACATCAAAATCCCAAAAGAAGAAAGAGACTAACGAAAGTGAAAAAATAAAAAACAAAAATCACAAATCCATAAGCAAAACAAGCATCGCCCTCTCCAGTAAAAAAAAAAAATTACACAGGAAATAAAAAATCAGGAATGCAAATCAGAGACGAAGAGATGATCAATGAAGAAGTTCATCTGACGTTTTTACCGGAAAAGTTTCAACTTGTGTTCCTTCACATCAGCAACAAAATAAGAATTAACAGCTCACATCAAAATCCCAAAAGAAGAAAGAGACTAACGAAAGTACGAAAGTGAAAGACAAAAATCACAAATCCATAAGCAAAACAAGCATCGCCCTCTCCAGTAAAAAAAAAATTACACAGGAAATAAAAAATCAGGAATGCAAATCAGAGATGAAGAGATGATCAATGAAGAAGTTCATCTGACGTTTTTACCGGAAAAGTTTCAACTTGTGTTCCTTCACATCAGCAACAGCCACAACGCAGCAACGGCCACTGCAATCAGCGTAGCAAGCGACCTGACGACCTCCGCAGCTACTGATGAGTTCTTTGCATCGGCTTTATCCGAAGCTGCCTGTGGGGATGCTGCTGGAGATGAACTTGGCGGAGCAGGCGGAGATAGCGGCAGTGGAGATGGAGCCTTAGCGGACTTTGACGCCGGAGCTGGTGCAGGTGTAGATGGCAATGGCGACGGAGGCAAGGAAGATGGAGCAGGAGCAGGGGCCGGAGCATGGCCAAAGAGCTCAGAGGGAAGAAGGACGCTGTCAACGGTTAGAATTGCGACGGGAGTATCGTCCAAGACCGTGTTTGCCACTCGGGAGGAGTCCACTCCCGTGTGAAGCGTGACATCGTCGCCTTGAGAAGATACAGTGAGATCGAACTTACCCGAGGAACCAGTCGCCATGGTCGAGATCGGGTGATCTGCCAACTTAAGGGAGTCCTTCGGCGTGTATGACGAGAGGGCGTGGTACTGAAGCAGCGTAACAAGGTCGGCGCTGCTGAGAGAGTTCAGATCTGGGACTCCGTCTGCATTGAATGCCTCATCGTCGGGAGCGAACAGGGTTAGTCCCTTATCCATCGCAGACTGAAAATTCTTCAGCAAGCCGGTGGAGACAAGTAGTGAAGCAAATGTCTTACATCCGGCCTTCTCCAGAAGTGCGGTGAGGTTTGAATCGGCAGCGGTAGGGGCGTCGAGCAGGCCGGGGAAGATAATCGGGGCGGAGATCTCGAGGACGGAAATGTTGTACGGTATCTGGCGGACAGATTTGGTGTAATCCGACGCGAGCTTGGAGCCGGGGGAAGACGGACCAAAGGCGACGCGACCGCCGCGGACATTGGTTATGTTGACGAATCCCAGTTTGCCAGGAGCACCGGTGGTCTGGTAGAGAGTGGTGGTGAGAGTAGTTCCTTGGGGGATGTCGTGGAGCTTCTGCGGGTCAAAGTAGTCCAAGAGGACAAGGAGGCGAAGCGCATTCTTGATGGCGGCAAGGCTGTGCTTCGCGGCCAAGGCGGTCATGGCAGCGTTGGGGAGTACGAGGCATGTCACCGTGTCCCGTGAGTTTACCTCATCGGCTACCTTCGTCTGCGACATGTAGCCGTTGTAGACACTGTAATCCGGGAAGCTATCCAGTATCGCCGTTATGTTGTGGCCATTCGCTGCTGCTGCCCACACTGATAGCACCAAACTTGCCATTAAAAGGAAAGAAGGTATATCATTCTTCGCCATTGCTCTCTCTCTCTCCACTGATCTCTCTCCCTGTATCTCTAAAGGATGGAAGACAATTGCGGAGGGAACTGTGGTAGGCAAGAAGAAAGGATGTGCTAACTATGGTTGATGAGAATAAAGAAAGTTAACTAGAGTTCAGCAGCCATGTGACGATCGCGATACGCGGCTCCTAGAACCAAGTTGTTGGACAGGTTAAAGCAGATACAACTGATTCAACACCGTCGGATCTTCTTTACAAATCGTATATTTTATCTCTTTAGGTACAATAATATATGCTCACAATCTGGTCATACCTGGGTCGTCTCATGCAAATATTTTTTGAGCTTGAGCAGGCGCTACAGCTGTGGTGCAAGATCTGTGTCGGCGACAGACAGCTGGAAATAGAAATGCTGATTTTTTTTTTATATTTAGCCCAATTAAGTCAAATTCATACAAATCACATATCTATCATATTTATTAATAGATAAAATTCCTAACCAACCATCAAGATAAGTTACATAATAATGATATTTTAAATGTGGTAAATAATAAATAAAGTATTTACTGTTACCATAGTTTATGATTGTAAATTTTATTTTACTTCTGAGCAAATTAAATTCAAATTTACACACATCATATATATAAGCTTCGAAATCAAATTTAGGCTTTGTTTGGGATAGTTTTTTTTGTTGATTTCTAAAATGACTATCTAGTACAAAAACTTATAATTCAAATAAATTTTGTACTAAAAAGTTGTTTTAGAAAGCAGCAAAAAAACTGTCACTAACGAAGCCTTAAGATTTTAATTATTTCAGTTTTCGATAATATGATATTGTTGATGTTTTTTGATCAAATATGTAGTTTTGTTATTGAAAAACGAGAATAAATTTATTTTGGTAAAACTATACTACGTAATTTTTTATATGTTATAAATATTGTGATTACAAAGATTTTGATTATATTCTGAAAATTTTTCGCTTGATGGTTTTAAAAACTAATAATTTTTTACCACTTAGAAATTTAATTTGACATCTAAAAATAGTGCTTTTGTTCAATTGAAGTTTCAGAATGACGTTTTACACAATCTCTGATAATTTGGTTATGTTTGAAAATTATACATTTTTTGCTCCGTGGTATTTTTGTTGTCTACCAATACGATATTTTCATAAATTTTGAATTCAATCCAATTATGCTTTAATTAATGAAATGTATTTAAAAATATGTTATGATGTGAGGTAGTATTCTACTATGCAGGTGCCAGTGCACGACTGATGTGGGATTATGTTATGTCGGCGCCAAGGTGGGATTCTGTTATGCTGACGGCAATGGACGATCGAGGTGGCATTCTATTGCCGAAGTATTGTAATGCCGACACCAATGGGCAACCGAGATGAGATTTTGGTAATGAAGATATATAAAATTTTGAGCTTAAGAGTTATTATGATAATCATTATGAAGTGTTTGTTTATAATTCAGTTAATTTTATATTTATTCAATTGTATTCAATTTTATTATATGACTCAGATCAATTTTCAATTCTTTTGATTTCAGTTTTTTATTTCTATTTTAGGCTACGTTAGTGTTAGATGATCCTTACTTTTTTTTTCAAGCCTATGAAAGGATAAGGAGTGAGCTGAGTAGTTTGGATAGCAGACTTTGATATATGTTGTAGGTATATTATGATTAGTTTTGACTTTTGCAAACTTGGCTTTTTTTTTTTGTGCCCTATGTTGCAAAACGTTATTGCAGATAAATTTTAAATTATATATATTTTGAATGATATATAGAAAATCATGTTGAGATTCAATAGTAATCCGCTTTATATTGTATTTAGTATTGACTTTGTGTAGTATATAAATTAAAATTTTTCTTTCAGTGCTTCTACAACCAAATTTTGGGGTTAATCTTATCACAATCAAACACGGTATGACCTATACAGTGTTGGGTCATATTGGGTCAAGTTGTGACATATAAGAGCTAGTTAGTGATTTTTGGGATATGTCAATGATTTGTCTTGTAAAGATGTTGAGGAGACTATTATAAGTTAAGAAGATATTTGATGAGTTATTGTCTTGAGAGTAGATGAGGCATGACTTAGAATTTTTTTATTATCTTTTTTAGGGCATAACGAAGACAATAAAAGCTTAGATGTGAAGCGTAGTTTCATCTGACTAGCTGTTCTTGATGACCCTGGCAGCATTATATCAGAAATTATTGCAAGCCTTAACAACAACGTCATAGGAGATTCGTGGCATTGTCTTTATTTCTAGTCATCAATATTTTTTTTGGCTTACAAGCTATTGATTGGATCTTTAAGACAACATTTTTGATTAAAAAAGTGAATGGGCAGCTTCGTTATCCTTGATCTTTAGACATGGCAACCACATTTATGCTACTTATTTGATGTAAAAAGCAAGGTGTCATAATAGGATATGTAAGGAGGTAAGAGTTTAAGCTAAGTGGAACTATATAAGTCACATTGCAAGATGACTTCGGCTTCATTTGGGATGGCTTATTACTGATTCTTAAAGCAACTTTTTAATATAAAACTTTTCATTTTTTTAGTAAAAAACTACTTTAAGAAGCGGTAAGAAAATCATCCCAAATGAAGCCTTCATCAAAAGTGAGGCCAAGAACATATTTTTTTAAAAGAAATTTGAAATTTAGGTAGAATTTAATAATTGTAGAGAGAAAAATGTTAATTTATTTAGGACATTATTTGACATTGCCTTAAATTTTAATTTATATAGGTTTATATAAATGTAGCGTTTACTAAATTTTAGATTTCGATCAAAAGCAAGTGACTAAACCAAAAACTTGATGCCTTTCATTTGGACTCTGTGTTTTCTTATAATAGCATTGATTTATTTTTTATTCGTTAATGTAAGTAATATCATGACATATTATTTAAAAAACATCATATATTTGATTTATTATTGGCGATAAATTATATTTAAAATGTGACAATCATATATATATATATATATATATAATATTAAAATTATTCAACAAATGTTTTCCTTTCCTATCGGCAATCTTGAAACTTCACAGACCTGTTCAGCATTGATTTATTCCTGTTTAACGTTTGGGCCTTAAACAATAAAGCCCAAGCCCACATTTAACATGAACAAATTTTGGATACATAAAGTAATGACGGATGTGATGGAATTTGTAGAAAATATATATATAATGAAGTTCTTTACTTATTAAGTTTTTATCCCTCTTTTTTTTTCTCTCTCAAATGTTCGGTGCTGAAATAGAATACTCACGCTCAAATCAATATTTTCATTTAGACATGACCGCTTGGATGGAGCCTAAACACCAACCACCAGGGCACAAAGAGGACATTATCTCTCAACTTGCACACTCTCTCTAATCCTATTTTCTCTTTGAAATGAACCGAATTGCAATTAGTTAATCAATTAATATATTACTTTACTAAAATATTAATATGTATTGCATTCTATAAATACTTGATAGGTTGGAAAAATTATTATGTACGTACACTGGATGGCGTTTGGAGATCAACCAGAGCGTGCCACACACTTTTTTGCTCGGTACCGTTGTGTACCGGGTGACGTGGCGTGCTCTGGTAGGTCTCCGGACCGTCTGATATCCGCATAGAATAATTTCTTCATAGGTGGAATATGAGCTCTGATGAAATGAATGAATAATGTTTCCAGCACCTTATATCTTCTTTTTTTCTTCAGGGCAATAGAATAATTTCTCCATATATGTGATTCTTTGATTATGTTCTTCATGTTTGTTATTTCCATGGCCTCAAACAAATGTCAAAGCAAATCACTACTAAAAATAAGAGGTTTTCACATAAATTTACTATCGACGATTATCAAATCAATGCTATAGACCAATATACATAATGGTTTAACCGCTACTAAACACAAACATATTTGCCTTCTTGTTCCCTAACCCGCTAACCGAGCCATTCGACCCATTATTGGCTCAGATTCCTTTGCTACCTTGTCGACATTCGCTAGATCGTCTCGATGTTGAATCTACCATCACTGTTGAAATCGTCATTGACGCATTGGTCACCGACGAATTAGCCGTCGTCAACCCATTCTCGTGCAACCCCTTCATCATATCTCCTGCCGTGACCCTTCGTGCACAGCCCATCTTCATGGATTGCCCATCCACGACTAAATCAACATGTCCTGACGCTGAATCCATCCCCGTAGCCATCACCAAAGAATTCCCTATTGTGATTTAGTTGCTCGGATCCATAAGTATTAATACCATAAGTATTAATACGTGATCTCATTTGAATTCTTTCCTTTAGTAAAAATGTATTGTTCCACAAGAACCGATAATTTGGATGAGAATGTAGCATCAACCTTTATTATATTGAAATAATTTTTCATGAGTCTAACCACTCTTGGTAAGCTCCTAGGATTGCATGGTCAACATGAATCATGGACGGTACGTATCAAGAAATTAACTTTACTTCCGCAGTTCTTTATTCTACAAAAAACTTGGAAGGGATTACTTTCCATGTCCTTCGGTCAAATGTAAAAGAGGACATGGATGAGTATTATTTTTATGAAGCTTAAGCTAACTCAAGAGTCAATTCCCTTATAAAGTACTCATGCACTGTTATTTTAAGTGTTGTAAGGTTCAATATGATAATTGATAAAAGAATATATATTAGTACAAATGCCATTCTTGATTCATTTGAAACATTGATCAAGTTCATGAAGTGCCTATCTTTAAATAATTTTTTCGTTCAACTTCAATATTAGTTTAATGCACAAACTAGAATCCATTTGAGACATTGTGGCTAAGTGGATGGTCACCCGCTCCACTTTGAGGACAAGGTCTTTGTAAGAGGGGAGTAGGGGTGCAACCGAGTCAAGCCGGCTCGTACTCGACTCAGTATCAGGCTCGACGAGTCAAGCTTATCGAGCTAGCGAGTCGAGCTCGAACACAGTATCGAGCTCGAAAGCTTGTTGAGCTCGAGCTTGAACAGGCGTCGGACTCGACTCGTCCGCTCGACGAGCAGCTCGACGGCGGAGCTAGCATGCGAGAAACCAAATCGCGAGCGGGAAATTCAAATCACGAGAGATCTCGAGCGGGACAACGATGGACGA